AATTTTACCCACCTCGGAAGGACGGAAGGCTGAGTCAGCCTTGAGCCGGTGAGATTAGAACCGCCGAACTGCCGATAGCGGTCAGCTGAAGTGGCCCGCAGTGCTGCATTTAACCACTGTGCCACCTCGGCATTTTCCCTTTTCTCTTCGCAGCCTCGCTGATCTTCATCGTCTGGACCACGAAGACTTTCCATCTTGCCACCTGCCAATCCGTGAGTAAGCAGGCCGGCTCCCTTTCTCCTCCCCTTCTTCATTTAGACCCACTTTTTTTCCCTTTTTTAACACTGTTCATTTCGAACAGTGAGTAAATCAATAGTTGTTAAGTCGAGGTCTACCTCTACCTTCTCGGGTTTCCCGCACAACCACCCTTCCTCTTCCTTCTCCTTCAGGACTGGCGGGAGCTCTGGATCGACGACGCCTTCTGGAGGTTCCTCTTCTCCATCCTCTTGCTGGTGATCATGTTCCTCTGGAGACCCTCGGCCAATAATCAAAGGTGTCGGAACTGGAACCCAGGACTCTCTCTCTCTCTCTCTCTCTCTCTCTCTCCCTTGCCCAGGGGGATTCCGTGTTTCATTCTTCTCTCAAGGGGGAGGAAAACCTCACCCTTCTCCTTGAGAGACGGTGGAGCGTCTCCTTCAAGCGAGGGAGGAAGGGTCTCCTGCAGGTGAGCCCCCAGCCCCATCTCATGCCCGCTTCCTGCCGCCCCCCCCCCTCCCTACAGATACGCCTTCATGCCTCTGGTGGACGAAGGCAGCGAGCAGGAGGAAGAGGAAGAGGAGCAGGTGGTCAACGAAGTCTTCGGTAAGCTTTGCCCAGGGGTCTCGTCCGCCCCAGCCCCCTCCCACCCCCCAACTCATTTGGTTCTGGAGCCTTAGAGGGGCTCCTGCTAGCCCGGCCTGCCTTTTCTCAAGGGGTCGGTGTGTGTTTGCACACTTGTAGGTGTGCCCCTCTCCCCCTTCCCCTCCCTCTTGCAATCTCCTTGCGGGAGGGGTCTTTGCCAAGGCAAAATCTCCCCCACCTGAGCTGGGTCTCGATTGGGCTGGGATGCTGGATCTGGAAGGGAGGGGTGGGCCTCCCTGCACCCACCCACCCACCCCTTTTCCCTCTCTCTCTTGCTCTTTCCCTCCTTCTCTTTGGCGCAGGGATGAAGATGAGGGGTGGGAAACCGGAAGTCAACGGGATTCTAAAAGGCAACCGAGTGGTGAGACTTTTGGATGGAGTTTCTCCTTCTTCTCTTTCTCTTCTTCCTCTCCTTTTTTTCTTCCTCCTTTCTCCTCTTCCTCCTTTTTTCTTCTTCCACTCCCTCCTCATATTCCTCCTTCTCTTCTTTCTCCTTCTGTTTCTCCTCCCCTCCTCCTTCTTCCTCCTTCCTCCTCTTTTTTCTTCTTCCACTCCCTCCTCATATTCCTCCTTCTCTTCTTTCTCCTTCTGTTTCTCCTCCCCTCCTCCTTTTCCTTCTTCCTCCTTCCTTCTCTTTTTTCTTCTTCCACTTCCTCCTCATATTCCTCCTTTTTTCTCCTTCTGTTTCTCCTCCCCTCCTTTTGCTTCTTCCTCTTCTTCTTTTTTCTCTTCCACTCCCTCCTCATATTCCTCCTTCTCTTCTTTCTCCTTCTGTTTCTCCTCCCCTCCTCCTTTTCCTTCTTCCTCCTTCCTTCTCTTTTTTCTTCTTCCACTTCCTCCTCATATTCCTCCTTCTCTTCTCTCTTCTTCTGTTTCTCCTCCCCTCCTCCTTTTCCTTCTT